TCTCTCCTCCTCCCCTCTCCTTGTCTCCTCTCCTACTCTCGTCTCCTCTCTTTGTCTCTCCTCCTCCCCTCTCCTTGTCTCCTCTCCTACTCTCGTCTCCTCTCTTTGTCTCTCCTCCTCCCCTCTCCTTGTCTCCTCTCCTACTCTCGTCTCCTCTCTTTGTCTCTCCTCCTCCCCTCTCCTTGTCTCCTCTCCTACTCTCGTCTCCTCTCTTTGTCTCTCCTCCTCCCCTCTCCTTGTCTCCTCTCCTACTCTCGTCTCCTCTCTTTGTCTCTCCTCCTCCCCTCTCCTTGTCTCCTCTCCTACTCTCGTCTCCTCTCTTTGTCTCTCCTCCTCCCCTCTCCTTGTCTCCTCTCCTACTCTCGTCTCCTCTCTTTGTCTCTCCTCCTCCCCTCTCCTTGTCTCCTCTCCTACTCTCGTCTCCTCTCTTTGTCTCTCCTCCTCCCCTCTCCTTGTCTCCTCTCCTACTCTCGTCTCCTCTCTTTGTCTCTCCTCCTCCCCTCTCCTTGTCTCCTCTCCTACTCTCGTCTCCTCTCTTTGTCTCTCCTCCTCCCCTCTCCTTGTCTCCTCTCCTACTCTCGTCTCCTCTCTTTGTCTCTCCTCCTCCCCTCTCCTTGTCTCCTCTCCTACTCTCGTCTCCTCTCTTTGTCTCTCCTCCTCCCCTCTCCTTGTCTCCTCTCCTACTCTCGTCTCCTCTCTTTGTCTCTCCTCCTCCCCTCTCCTTGTCTCCTCTCCTACTCTCGTCTCCTCTCTTTGTCTCTCCTCCTCCCCTCTCCTTGTCTCCTCTCCTACTCTCGTCTCCTCTCTTTGTCTCTCCTCCTCCCCTCTCCTTGTCTCCTCTCCTACTCTCGTCTCCTCTCTTTGTCTCTCCTCCTCCCCTCTCCTTGTCTCCTCTCCTACTCTCGTCTCCTCTCTTTGTCTCTCCTCCTCCCCTCTCCTTGTCTCCTCTCCTACTCTCGTCTCCTCTCTTTGTCTCTCCTCCTCCCCTCTCCTTGTCTCCTCTCCTACTCTCGTCTCCTCTCTTTGTCTCTCCTCCTCCCCTCTCCTTGTCTCCTCTCCTACTCTCGTCTCCTCTCTTTGTCTCTCCTCCTCCCCTCTCCTTGTCTCCTCTCCTACTCTCGTCTCCTCTCTTTGTCTCTCCTCCTCCCCTCTCCTTGTCTCCTCTCCTACTCTCGTCTCCTCTCTTTGTCTCTCCTCCTCCCCTCTCCTTGTCTCCTCTCCTACTCTCGTCTCCTCTCTTTGTCTCTCCTCCTCCCCTCTCCTTGTCTCCTCTCCTACTCTCGTCTCCTCTCTTTGTCTCTCCTCCTCCCCTCTCCTTGTCTCCTCTCCTACTCTCGTCTCCTCTCTTTGTCTCTCCTCCTCCCCTCTCCTTGTCTCCTCTCCTACTCTCGTCTCCTCTCTTTGTCTCTCCTCCTCCCCTCTCCTTGTCTCCTCTCCTACTCTCGTCTCCTCTCTTTGTCTCTCCTCCTCCCCTCTCCTTGTCTCCTCTCCTACTCTCGTCTCCTCTCTTTGTCTCTCCTCCTCCCCTCTCCTTGTCTCCTCTCCTACTCTCGTCTCCTCTCTTTGTCTCTCCTCCTCCCCTCTCCTTGTCTCCTCTCCTACTCTCGTCTCCTCTCTTTGTCTCTCCTCCTCCCCTCTCCTTGTCTCCTCTCCTACTCTCGTCTCCTCTCTTTGTCTCTCCTCCTCCCCTCTCCTTGTCTCCTCTCCTACTCTCGTCTCCTCTCTTTGTCTCTCCTCCTCCCCTCTCCTTGTCTCCTCTCCTACTCTCGTCTCCTCTCTTTGTCTCTCCTCCTCCCCTCTCCTTGTCTCCTCTCCTACTCTCGTCTCCTCTCTTTGTCTCTCCTCCTCCCCTCTCCTTGTCTCCTCTCCTACTCTCGTCTCCTCTCTTTGTCTCTCCTCCTCCCCTCTCCTTGTCTCCTCTCCTACTCTCGTCTCCTCTCTTTGTCTCTCCTCCTCCCCTCTCCTTGTCTCCTCTCCTACTCTCGTCTCCTCTCTTTGTCTCTCCTCCTCCCCTCTCCTTGTCTCCTCTCCTACTCTCGTCTCCTCTCTTTGTCTCTCCTCCTCCCCTCTCCTTGTCTCCTCTCCTACTCTCGTCTCCTCTCTTTGTCTCCCCTACTCTCGTCTCCTCTCCTTGTCTCCTCTACTCTCGTCTCCTCTCCTCGTCTCTCCTACTCCCTTCTTCTCCCCTCCTTCCCTCTTTTCTCTCCTCTCTCTCTTTCCCTTTTCTCATCTCTCCCTCTCCCATTCCACGCACAGGAAATAAAAGGCCAGAGTTCAGCTTTAATTCTCATTACCGCACTTCAGCTCACGGCCAGCACGGCCTGTCCAGCGCTCGGGTCATTATTAATGATCCAAGGGGAATTTTCCTCCATCGGTTCTTTGTTTTTATTTAGAAGGCAGCTGACGGAACCTCGGCAAACATTAACCAACCTCGTGCCCGCCCACCCGTCTGTTCCCTGAATATCACACCAACATGGGCCGTAGCCCGGGTTAATGTGTTATTCGTCCTTGTCATCGGCCAAGAACTCGCTGATTGATCATTCGCGTTCACTGAAACGGGCTCTTTGTGGGCTCCGCTTTGATCCACAAGTGGTCGTCACCTTGATGTAATAATGGACGGCGGGGGTGCCATCGTTATATAGGATCACCGAATATATATCACCACAGGATGGTGTATAGAAAAGTTTACTGTATCCGCACCACCTCCCGGAATTTCGGGGTAACTGCTAACTTCTGCCAAAGGATTTGTAATTCTGTTCAGTTAGTTCTGTGACTCCTTCACCTCTGCCGCACTGATGTGCTATGGAGGTAACTGTGCTGTATGATGATGCCGGTGCATTGGCCACTGAGCAGGCTGGGGTCAGAGGCAGCACAGGTGAACCAGAATATTGTTTAACTTGACCCAGCCCCCTGTCACCTCCCAGGCCATCTTATTGGCCAGTCGGATAAGCCATCACATTAAAGGACCAATAAGGAGGCTGGAAGGGCTTTTACAGGAAAGCCACCTATATCTCTGAATCTACTGATTGCATTGGCATGTTATTGGCCTGTAACTCTCACTGAGGGTAGGCCTTGTTGTAGTTCAAAGTCTGTACAAAGCCATACAGAGCAGAGGGGGGTAAGTCTCTTCAGCTGTGTGTATAATTTGAACTCCACCTATCCAGATCTAACAGAACAGGTAGTTAAAAGAAAAAGTGGATAGTACTCCTATTGCTGGCTGCAAAATCTTCAATGTAAAATATTTATATGCAAAAAAATATATTTTTAAAATGTTATTTATTTATTGTTAGTCCTGTGCACAATAAATATCTACAAGCAAACTTAAAGTAGATGTACACCCGATCACCGAAAGCTTTTAAATCTGCAGCTTAATAATTCCTGGTGATCCTGCCTTGTTCAGGCACTTCCTGTTATAAGGTGACCACTTTCTCCCAGGCAGAGGCATCACAATGGGGGTGTGGCCTGCAGCAGGTGACACCATCAAAGGGGGGTGAGATCAAAATGGCTGTCGATAATCGCCGGCAGTTGAGGGAGTGCGATGTCATTATGGACGTGCGTAATGAAGTGCCGTCGGGTGACACCAGGCATGGTGACACCTCTGCTCCCAGTTGTACTCCTACGTTGTCACCCTGTCACACGCACCGCCCCTTTGGTCATCATAGCAACCGTGCCGACACACTGTTGTTAGCATGAGCAAGCCCATGCAGAGTAATAATGTGCAGCCGAAGCTGGAGCAAGCGCATGTAGACAGGAAGTGGCTGGGAAATGTCAGCAGCAGTGATGGGCTCGGGCGTGTTCGCAAGCGTCTCGTGCCGAGCTCCGCCAGCGCGCAGGGCCAATCACAGGCACTGAGGCATTTCCCGATCTCTGCAGCTGCGGACCGGGAACGCGTCTCAGTGCCTGTGATTGGCCCTGCGCGCTGACGGCTTCCTGGCGGGCTCGGCACGAGGCGCTTTGCGAACACGCCCGAGCCCATCACTAATCAGCAGCACTGAGATACGGAAAGCAACGGAGACCAAAAAAAAAAAGTAAAAACAGTGCTTTAGGAAAAAATATACAAATTATGGATATCAAATGGCAATCTTTTTTAAAGCCCGTGGAGCGTGCTACGAAACCCCCAAAACGTGAACAAGCGCACAAAAAGGGTGCTGTCTAAAGGGTCCGCCTCCTGAAGAGACAGGGCCCATCCCTGACCCCAAGGTGTGCAAAGCTCCTGACAGGGTCAAGGCACCCGTGTCCACCCGGCGGAAACCAGGCGGACCCATTCCTCATGGCCAGCCGAGGCTGACCACCGAATACTAGATTGAGGGCTTCCCCGAAGGGAGACCCCCCCCCCAATTCAGGGGAGGAAGGAACCTGAGAGCCACACCTCCTCCCCCTAGACTTCAGGGCAGGCCCGAAGACCCGCACCCTCCATCCCGTGGAGTGAAAAACACATAAAAAAATAGTGACGGGTGCACATACAAGTGACGACAAATAATTTCGTGCCAGTGTACTAGACCGAGGACATTTTTCGTGACCCCAGCATCGGACAGTGTGTCTTCCCCCTCCCCTAGCGTTGGTCGGTGTCTCTCTCCTCTTCTCTCCACACCAACCCCCCCTTCTCTCAGCGTCGGTCAGTGTCTCTCTCCGCTTCCCCACCCAACACCCCCCACATGCGCACGTGCTCAGGAAGGTACCAAGTGCACAGGGGGGGGGCCTGTGGCTTTAACAACTACACTACACTGCACACTAAATATTAAACTAAAATAAAAAAATCTTGCTTGGAGCCCAGGGATTCAGATCGCGACCCCCCCTGTTCACTTGCGGGACCCCATATGGGGTCGCGACCCACACTTTAAGAAGCACTGTACTAGACAAAGGCTAGGGCCTCGAATGGCAATTGTTCATGTTCAGAGCAAAAATAAATAGTTGGGGATCTCCAAAGCTAAAACCTGCGTTGCATTGACTCTCTGGTGCAGCAGATGGCGACAAGCGACCGTTACTTTCCTCTCTTCTAGATTCCTGGCTTCTGGATACAATCGTGAAATCGGGGCCCATTGCAGGTGGACAGGCAGAGGCCGTCATCCAGGACCAGGAGGTCTCCGAGTCAGAAGCTCAGGAGCTACGAAAGGTAACAAATGCTGTAAAGTGAACGTTTTATTTTCGGACGAACCCGGTGAGCAGGAAGCAGCTCGGTGACGGGAAATGTTTGAACACGGTTAAGGTTTTCTGTATGTTTGCAGGAAGACATTGCAGACCGCACACAGGGAACCAGAGTCAGAAAGAGCCAGCACAGAGATTATTATTATACAGGATTTATAGAGCGCCAATAGTTTGCGCAGCGCTTTACAATATAAGGGAGACATTACAATCACAATACAATTCAAGACGATGGTAAGGAGGGTCCTGCCCCTGAGGGCTTACAATCTAAAAGGGGAGGGGCCAGTAATACATGAGGAGGGAGCTGTGTGGGGATGAATTGTTTGAGAACGTGATGGTTGAGGTGGGATCGGCTTCCCTGAAGAGATGAGTCTTAAGGGATCGCCTAAAGGCAGTCAGAGTGGGAGATAGACGGACAGGTTGGGGTAAGGAGTTTCAAAGAATGGGAGAGACTCTAGTGAAGTCCTGGAGGCGAGCATGGGAGGAGTTGACGAGGGAGCTAGAGAGCAAGAGGTCTTTGGAGGAGCGGAGGGGACGGTTAGGGTGATACATGGAGACAAGGTCTGAGATATATCCGTGGGCGGAGTTGTGGATGGCTTTGTAAGTGGATAAGTTGGAAACCAGTGGATGGATTGGCAGAGGTGGGCGGGGGTAGAGCATGGAGGCCAGTGGAGGGATTGGCACAAAGAGGGACAGAGGATGAAAGCCAGTGGATGGATTGGCAGACAGGGGCACAGGAACGATTTTCATGAACTTACTGAAGGACATCCGTGATAAAGAGATGAGGAAAAGAATGGAATGTGGTTAGAGAGAAGACTGAAGGGAAGGACGGAGGTCAGATAGAAGACTGAAGGGAAGGACAGAGGTCAGATAGAAGACTGAAGGGAGGACTGAGGTCAGATAGAAGACTGAAGGGGAGGACGGAGGTCAGATATAAGACTGGAGGGGAGGACTGAGGTCAGATAGAAGACTGAAGGGAAGGACGGAGGTCAGATAGAAGACTGAAGGGAAGGACGGAGGTCAGATAGAAGACTGAAGGGAGGACGGAGGTCAGATAGAAGACTGAAGGGAAGGACGGAGGTCAGATAGAAGACTGAAGGGAAAGACGGAGGTCAGATAGAAGACTGAAGGGAAGGCCGGAGTTCAGCTTTAAGTCAGTTGTGCATAAAAACAGAGAACTTTGGAAGGGGGTCACATACTTTTTCAGAGCAGAGGACGTTCCATTGAACGTTCAGCCCGGGCAGTGTGTTTCCCCGTCTCCGCCAGGAATGACATTAATAATGTAGAAGCATTTCTTGGTTTCATGGCTTTCCCCTCGGCTGCTGGTAAAGACTCCGCATTTGTGGGTGTATCCGGGAAAGAGAGTAACCACATTGGTTATTAAGCGGTTGGCAGCGCTGACAGTTTGTGTATTTGTGGACTGGTGCACTTTCCTCTCGGCAGAAAGCTTGGCGCGGATTTGGACGTCTCTCGGAACCGCACGGATCTGTCATTCAGAGGCTCAGTTACCCGGAAGATGCTGCAGGGCCTCGCGAAGGGATCAGAGCCTCAGAATAAGATCATCAACAAACAGGAACTCTGTCTGCTGTTAAAGCGGAACTCTGGACTTCCCTTCAGTCTTCTATCTTCCGGCCTTCTCTCCTATCTGACCTCCGTCCTTCCCTTCAGTCTTCTATCTGACCTCCGTCCTTCCCTTCAGTCTTCTATCTAACCTCCGTCCTTCCCTTCAGTCTTCTATCTGACCTCCGTCCTTCCCTTCAGTCTTCTATCTTACTTCCGGCCCTCTCTTCTATCTGACCTCCATCCTTCCCTTCAGTCTTCTATCTGACCTCCGTCCTTCCCTTCAGTCTTCTATCTTACTTCCGGCCTTCTCTTCTATCTGACCTCCATCCTTCCCTTCAGTCTTCTATCTGACCTCTGTCCTTCCCTTCAGTCTTCTATCTGACCTCTGTCCTTCCCTTCAGTCTTCTATCTGACCTCTGTCCTTCCCTTCAGTCTTCTATCTGACCTCTGTCCTTCCCTTCAGTCTTCTATCTGACCTCTGTCCTTCCCTTCAGTCTTCTATCTGACCTCTGTCCTTCCCTTCAGTCTTCTATCTGACCTCTGTCCTTCCCTTCAGTCTTCTATCTGACCTCTGTCCTTCCCTTCAGTCTTCTATCTGACCTCTGTCCTTCCCTTCAGTCTTCTATCTGACCTCTGTCCTTCCCTTCAGTCTTCTATCTGACCTCTGTCCTTCCCTTCAGTCTTCTATCTGACCTCTGTCCTTCCCTTCAGTCTTCTATCTGACCTCTGTCCTTCCCTTCAGTCTTCTATCTGACCTCTGTCCTTCCCTTCAGTCTTCTATCTGACCTCTGTCCTTCCCTTCAGTCTTCTATCTGACCTCTGTCCTTCCCTTCAGTCTTCTATCTGACCTCTGTCCTTCCCTTCAGTCTTCTATCTGACCTCTGTCCTTCCCTTCAGTCTTCTATCTGACCTCTGTCCTTCCCTTCAGTCTTCTATCTGACCTCTGTCCTTCCCTTCAGTCTTCTATCTGACCTCCGTCCTCCCCTTCAGTCTTCTATCTGACCTCTGGCCTTCCCTTCAGTATTGCACAGTTGTTCCGGCTCCTCTTCTCTTCCTCTGATGTCACTGTACACTGGGAACTCCTCACAATGTGCATTACAAGCTGCAGCCAGTCAGATAGAGCCCGCCCCATTTCCTGGCTGGAACAGAAAGGAAGCCAAGAGGTTTGCAAAAAGTGAAGGCAGCAATCTGGGCCAAGGTAACGGGCAACAGATCAGCAAGAACACAAGCACAAGCTGAAAGACCGTTCAGCACTGACCCATTGGGCCAGCTGGTTTAAATAGGAACATCTATTAGAGGGCCGTGAGTCACTTCCGGTGCGCCGCATGCCGTTCTGCACGCTAATGCATGTTTTCCGGCAACCCGAAAGACTGGGGCCTGCACATGCGGCATAGCGCTCGAGCTCCCTGCTATGGCCTTACACGATGTTACTTTGTATCTCTCTATCACAGCAACTTGCAGCTGTCATTCTGACAGCGGTGAATTGAGGATAAGTGGGAAGGGTGGTGAGGCAGCAGGCCAGAAGGACGGGTCATGTTACACACATACTGTGTACTTCAATGAAGTGTTTTGGTGTGTGTGTGTGTGTAGCACATCCATTGTCCATAGTGTTTTTTTGGGGGGTCAGAGCATTAATGTCCTATGGTAGTAAAAGGTGTAAGCTTCTTTTTTTCACATACACTATATTGCATTGTGACGCCGGCCTTTACACGCACCTGAACTCTAATGGCATCCCAGTCTTAGTCCGTAGGGTTCAGTATTGGGTTGGCTCCGCCCTTTGCAGCTATAGCAGCTCCGCCTCTTCTGGGAAGGCGTCCACAAGGTTTAGGAGTGTGTTTATGGGAATGTTGGACCATTTGTGAGGTCAGGTACGGATGTTGGGGGAGGGGCTCGCAGTCTCCGCTCTCATTCATCCCAAAGATGTTCTATGGGGTTGGGGTCAGGACTCTGTGCAGCCAGTCACGTTCCTCCACCCCAAACTCCCTCACCCATGTCTTTATGGACCTTGCTTTGTGCACTGGTGCGCAGTCATGTTGGAACAGGAAGTGGCCGTCCCCAAACTCCTCCCACAAAGGTGGGAGCATGAAATTGTCCAAAATGTCTTGGTATGCTGATGCCTTAAGAGTTCCCTTCACTGGAACTAAGGGGGCGGAGCCCAACCCCCAAAAAACAACCCCCTCCCCCATAATCCCCCCTCCACCAAACTTTACACTTAGCACAATGCAGTCAGGCAAGTACCGTTCTCCTGGCAACCGCAAAACCCAGACACGCCCATCGGATTGCCAGACAGAGAAGCGTGATTGGTCACTCCAGAGAACACGTCTCCACTTCTCTAGAGTCCAGTGGCGGCGCGCTTTACACCGCGGCATCCCACGCTTTGCATTGCACCTGGTGATGTGCGGCTTGGATGCAGCTGCTCGGCCATGGAAACCCATTCCATGAAGCTCTCTACGCACTGTTGTTGTGCCAATCTGAAGGCCGCATGGAGTTTGGAGGTCTGTAGCTATTGACTCTGCAGACAGTTGGCGACTTCTACCTTCTGGCCTTCCACTTCCTGTCTGAGTTGCTGTTGTTCCCAGTTGCTTCCACTTTGTTATAATCCCAGTAACAGGTGACCGCGGAATATTTAGTAGCCAGGAAATGTCACGGACGGACTTATTGCACAGGTGACAACCTATCACGGCACCACGCTTGTAGTCACTGAGCTCCTGAGAGCGACCCGTTCTTTCACAAATGTCTGTAGAAGCGTCTGCATGCCGAGGTGCCTCATCCTATACACCGGGCGCCATGGTGGTGGTTGGAACACCTGAATCCAATGATTTGGAGGGGGAGGGGCCCAATACTTTTGGCAATCTAGTGTATGTATGTACGATGGTTTCTCCTTGATTTATGTCTGTCCCAGATGCAGTACATCTTTAAATATTGATATTTATTATAAGGTGCTGATGTGAGTATTACAAATGGTTGTTGAAATAATAAAGCTCTCCTAGAACAAGGCATTATGCTGATCAAGTATCCAAACTTCCAGTGCGAGTTCCGGGCCCCCCCCTCCCCCGGGCCCTCTTCGTGATTGATATTGAGTCCCGATCGGCGTCTGAGGTCTCCGAGCTGACAGGTCATTTGGGCCCACATGGTAGACGGAGGCGTGTGGGAGAAGCCCTGACAATATTTGTACGGCGGTGCGGTTTGCACGGGGTTCGGGGCCCGAGCCTCCGGCTGGATATATATATATATATGAGCTGCAGAGGGACACTATATACCTGAAATGAACAAGTTGTTCCTCAGTCAGATCCAATAGAGGGAACGCTATTACATGACAGGAACTGGAAATAATAAAGTGATAATGTCGAAGAATGCCGGAGAACGGAGTAACGGCGGACTGACCGCACAAACCTGAAATAATAGAGA